GGCCTTCCTGGGGCTCACCTGTGTGTCACCTGTGACAGGGCTGTGGCAGTGGCCAGAGAGGCTGAGCTAGCCCCGCTCATGCCCCTGGGACCTCGGTGCTGGCCTCTCTCTCCACGTAGGCCTCATTGGGGCTGATTTGTGTGCTGTGGACCTTAGGGAAGTTACTTCGCCTTTCTGGGCCTAGTTACCACACCTGTAGAGTGGTGATTGTCATATCTACTATCCCATAGCGTTAAATCTCAGCTAATGTCTGCAAAGCCCTTAGCCTTACACGTATGTGTTGTGTGTACAAGATCAAATAAGATAAATATATAAAGGCATGGACATTTATACATCTAAGTATCAAAAAAAGAAGTCAAAGAGATGATATTTGCCAAGTCTAAGGAAAAACATACCATAATAAGGAAAGCCATTCTCATACTGTGTGCATGTGCATGTATGTGCGTGCATGTGTTCATTTGTGTGTGTAAGAGATATACATGGCACTCGGGAAGAGGAATTTGATTTGATTTTAATGTAATCCTCTCTTGGTTTCCATGATCATGTTCAAAAGCCGAGTCAAGATTAGCAGTGGGCTCTGCTTTTTCAATTGGGAAGTTTAGTAATGTGGAGAGCGTTTTAATCATAAATGCTTGGATGACCAGCTTTTTCTCTGTAAGAAATGAGCATTTAAATTCTGCAGTCTTAAAGTTTGACAGCATCTTTTCAAAACCAAATGAAATGTAACGATAGTTAGATAGATTCATAGCTCATTATTCCCCGTACATACAGTGAATAACTAAACTTTTATCTCTTCCCAGCCAGTGCCTCTTTTATTTATTTCCTTTTTTAATAATTGGAAGTTTTAAGTTTAATTAAAAAAAATTTATTATGGGGGGCCAGCAGATGTTGTGGTGGTTAAAGCACTAGACACTCTCACATGATAGACCAGTTCAAGTCCCAGATCTGGTGGCTTGCTTTCTCACTTTCTTTCTCCCTGATCAAATTAAAATAAATGAATGAATAAATAAAATTAAATAAAATAATTGTTTTTTAAAAATGTGTTACTGGGTCCAGCAGGTGGTATAATGGTTAATGTGCTGGATTCCCCAGGGTTTGAGCCCTGGACTCTGTGGCTTGAAACTCGTGCCAGGTGCATGTGCGTGCCTGCCCAAAATCCTGAGAGGAGAAGGGATTGTGTGTGACCATCCCCCGGGGGATAATTTCTTGCTTTCCCTCTCTCCCTCTCTCTCTCTCTCTCTCTGGCAAGCACACATGCCCTATAGCAAAAATCTCTCAGAAAAAAAGCGTGTTACAAATTTTCCATGTACACAAAGATGTATGTGTATACTATACGCAGTGATAAAGGTTAATGAACAATATCCATGTGTTCACCATCAAGCTTAAAAACACAAATTAAGAAATAAGTCATAAATGATTTAGAAATATGTTTTAAATGAAATTTTAACAGTAAAACTCAGAATTGGTAGAAAATCAGGTATATTTTTATTTAGAGAGTCTTTAAAAAGAAGAAAGTGGAGAATTTTCTTTCTCTCTATAAAAGCCCACATTCATTATCTTCCCAAAGCATTACAGGGAAAAAGTGTTCCTGTTCTTCTCTGATAAAAATAACCCTGGTCTTGGGTTTTCTACATCAACCAGTCTCACAATTGCTTCTGGAATGTGTTCATTCCCGTGGTTCAGCTTTACAAACAGACTGATGGCCTGCCGAATGCCGGAATTCACGCTAAGTAGCAGGCGGCCAGGAGTGACTGAGAACCCCTCTGCCTGGGACGGGACCGGGGAGGTCCTGCTAGCTGTGAGCATGAGGTGTAGTTGTGAGCAGGAATTACACAGGATGGCCATACCTATTTGATAACTGCAGTAAGCTATATAGCCCCAGCTAGGTGCTGCTTTATAGTGTGTTCATTCTGCTCACTGAGGTTTATGCTGCCAGTGCATGCTGGGAGGAGGGCCGTGGGAAGCTGCAGGCATCCAGGGATCATACTCGCTTACCTCCCTCCCACCCCAGACCACCAGCATCTAAAGTAGGAGCTGGACAGGCACACAGTAGGTGCCCAAGAAATACCTGTAGAATGAACGGCTAACATGGACCTTACAGGATCCATGGGAGCCTGGAAGAGAGAACAGCACGCACAAAGCAGTTATCACCGTAGCGCACATGGTTGTTGGCAGTTCAAACTAGAGCATTGTCTTGTATGCTTTAAACAGTCCTCTCTGCTCTTTATCAGGACATCGACAGCACAGATCCGGACAGATGGTGTGAATATATTATGTACCGAGGGCTGATCAGGTGAGCACAGGTGTTCGGATTTTGTTTTTCATCTAATATTACTGTGATCTTTGGGAAGGGGTCTATTCTAAAAGGAAACATGCTATGGAAGCAATTGATTTTTGCAACTTTTTATAAACATTGACTTGGCCGGCTAAGTTATTTAACATTTTTTCAGGGCATGACCTAATGATTTAAGAAGATATAAATAAATAAGCAAATTAAGTCTAATTCTATACCAAGTGCACTGGGTAAAGTATTAAGTGTAAGTACGTAACTGTCAACATGCTATAGGAATGGCACCATTTTTTTTTAATTTAAATTTATTTATTTACATTAATTTACTATATACATCATTGTAACATACAAAGTGAGATTTTTCCATTCAGAATACACTGTATATTGGTTCAATCAAGCACATCAACATACATGATATCATCCACAAATAATTTTCCATTTCTTGTTTCCTGTATATTTTGTTTTTTTTTTTTCCCCCACCCTTGATTC